ATTGAAAGCTACAATAGGAAAACTCTCTCTATATTTAATTGTTAATTTTGTAATGAAGTTACTAATATCTTCAGAAATTTGTTTTTTAATAGCATTATTATTATTGGAGGTCATCAATCTATAACTAGTATCTTTGAACATTATTTCTCTGAGAGTATTATCTTTAACAATATTTAAATTACCTGTTACAACATGTTTGAGATGATCGCTTATAAAATCAGAAAATAATCTTTACAATTACACACAATATTATTATTATTATTTTGCAAATCATTAATATTGTTGTAATTAAAAATTGGGCTACCAATTTTTTATTATATTTAAAAGCCTTCTTAATGTAAACATTATTAATAGGTAAGCAATGTACATACTAGGGTTTGCAATCCTGTGTTATATTTTCAATCCCGAGATTTCGGGATTACATTATCCAAATACGGGGATTGGGATTGGACTATTTTTTAAAAATACTTACACATTAGTTAAAGTTGCATAACAAAATTGAAAATACAATTAAAAATTGGTTTAATATTAATTTTATTGAAACCAATAAAAAGAAAACTTAATTTATCATAAAAAAACAAATAAAATTAGTACTTAATGAAATTTAAAAAAAAAACATTTCTTCATTTCTTGTGTTTCTGTAAATAAGCTTTTGAAAAACACAGCTCGTCCAGCGTTTCATCGTTCAAACGGCTTCTTATTTTTGTTACAAATTGTCCTGACGAAGAAAATACTCGTTCGGATTCTATACTATAGTAGGTGTTATTAAAGAGGAGTATGTTCTTCTCAAGTATTCACCTCATCTCCCTCCATTTTCAAAAAAGACATCTCTTTTTAAATTTTTGATGACAGTGTCTCAAATTTAATAGACTGCATTAGTGTATATACCTCTTTGATAACTTTATCTAGTTCATCTGCTACACATAATGGTTTTTGTGTATAAATTGATCCAGTTATTGCATCAGAATGTGAATCAATTTCAAGTGTTACCTTACTTGAAATAAATGACCCAGTTGCATGAGCTGTTAGTAATGCAATGGAATTTGACGTATCTCAAGTCTTTCAACAAAGTTCGCTATTAATTAACGTCATTTAATTGAAGAAGGAACTGTGACAAAATATATTCTTGATATGCTGGTAATATTATTGTGTAAGTATTGCAGTGAGCCACTTAGATCTGTGTAGCGTTCTCCCATAAGAGAAATGAGAGCTGCAAATATATATATTTTTTTACTTATAGCACTTATAATTGCACAAAAAAATTCTACGTACATTTTTCATAAACAAAACATAAATTTTCTAAAAATTAAACTCTTAGAAAATTTTGATGAGAAAATAAATTTAACATATACTTCAGACAAAAATTAAATCCCGGGATTGGAAAAAACACCAGGATCTCAGGACTGCAAACCCTAGTACATACTTATTAAATATTTTTGAAGAATGAATGCTATTATATAATTTATTCATGAATAATACTGTACAGTACTCAGTAGAACTATTTACTAAATCTTTATCTACAATACTGAATTTATCAATGAGAAAATTAATAACATCCTTAATTACATGTAAGGCATGGCAGTCTTGAAAATCATTCTTTTTGAGGATATCTTTAGTATACCTAATATCTTTTTTATTACAACCGAACAAAAAATATTTAATTTGTTTAATGTTAAATGAATTTTCAAAGTTGCTGCATAAATCATTAATTTTAGATACTATCTCTAATGGTAGTTTACAAATTCTTTTCTTCTTATTTCCTCTTTTTATTCGTTTAACTTTTATTACATTATCACTATTATTAAAATATTCCTTGTTATCATTTTGTTGAATGCTAAGTAGGACATTTTTTCCAAAGTGCATGGTATTCAAACCATATGGATATATAGTGTTATAATATTTAATGAAGTGGTTTTCCCACCTCCGTCTATTTTTAGCATGTGGGATTATTCTGAGAATGGAAATCAATATTTTCAAAGCCATGTAGATGAAAATGCCTAAGTTCAATTTTACTATTATTGTTATGTTTGTAATTTTTAGTATTTGATCTAGAAGGCTTATACGAATATTGATATTATTACATGTTTGGCCAATATATTTAAAATTACATCTTTTACAGTTCAACATATTGAAGGTTTTACATAAGAGAACAATTTAGATATATTATCATATTGCTCTATGTTTAACATTGGACATGTTTTAAATCTAATGTTATTCCATTTATTATAACAAAAATAATTCATGAGATGATATTGCATAATATCATAAAAATAATGCTTATTGTGGAAATTTATTTGATTATGTAAGTTTAATTGGTCGGAATATATTTATGATTATGTCTATACTGAGAGTTATTGCTATCATATTTATAATTAGAAAAATTGTTATGCCTGATAAAATCTGTATTCTAGAAAGTTCTAGTGCTGTAGGAGTTCGCCTTTTTACTAGTAGTATTAACTACTGTGTAATCTGAATCACCAATCCTGTGGTTCATCGTGTGTATTTCCTTTTTCAAAATCAATATATATCTAATCTAAAATAACTGTTATCAAAATTCACTAATAAAATGGAACAATAATATTCCAATCTTTAGAACTGAAACAGTATATTAAAACAAAACTACCAAAAACATTAAAGAGCCTCCAAATCAGAAAATCAATCCAATACAAAAACTGTGATATATCCAAAGAATATCTAACACTCACACAAATTATGGTAACTTTCTACCGATAACACGCATACCATAATAATGTATCACCGAGCAAATATCTGCTATAAAGCTTATCTATTTGCCAGTCACTAAAAAATATTTTTAATTACAATCATAATTATTTGAGAATAAGTAATGTGTGTAAAATATATAATTAGGGGAAGACCTATATAACAATTATTTTACTGAAACAAAAAGTATTTGGAGTACTAATAGTCTTCGGAAATAAATGTAATAATACACAATGAATCAATTCAAAAGACATGAAACAAAAGAAAAATAGAAAAAATAATCAAAAATGAAAAGATGTAACAAAATTAATAAAAAAAATATAGCAAAATTAAACGAAAACGGAAAATAATTATAACAATATTAAATAATAATGACAAAAAAAAAAATAAACATGAATAAAAAAAAGAAAACTAGAATATAACAAAATAACTTAAAAATAATAATATTTATTTATTATATATATTATTTTATATTTTGAGTGAGGGTTCAGACCTTACATCGGGTTGGAAATGAAGAAGACGCAGCCACACAGTTCATATGTTTACACATTTAATAAGTTAACAAGTAATATAAAAAAAATTCTAAGTCAATTCCTACTTAGGTCAACAAAGAAAAATTTTATTTTAATTACTTTTTATTAAATAGTTACAATTAATATAAATATGTATATACATATGACAGAATCACAATATTCAGTGACAAAATAGAAAGCGATTTTCCTTGCAATTTTCTATTTTTCTTTCTATATAGGGTGTTGGACTATTTTTTTGTTTGTTACTATTTATTCATTATATATATAGGGAGAGCGAAGTGAATTAATAGTAGGAATTGTGAAAAAGATGACTGCACAACACAAATTTTAAAATAAAATGAATAAAAAAGAGATGTTTGATGCCCTTCACATCAGTTAGAAAAGCGCAAAGAGCAAATCAGGAAGTAAACAATTATGACCACAAATTATAAAAAAAAGACAATTGATAATTAAGAAAAAGAATTTAATACGCGAAGAACAATTTAGGAAATATAAACAATTCTTTCTCTCTAGCATGTATTAAATAATTATAACGAAAACTTATAACGTTATTATAGAACAAATTACCAGCTTACACATCGGTATTCTAAAATCTTTCATAGAACTAAAAACTGTAGAAAAATATTCATCTGTAATGCTTGGAACACTAATTTCGAGAGAGATTTACAATTCTAAGCAAAGTGAAAACCTTTGATCTATTGGTCCTCTTCGGATGTACACAGTGAAAACATCAAATGAAAGAGAAAAACAGTATTTCACCATTTTAGATTTTTGGGGAGAGGGTCTAAAAATAATTTTCTTTGAATTATTGAGTGTTTATTTAGAACGCGTTTAATTTTCTAATCAAGGGTATATATTTGCTATAATTTCTACAGCTTTTAATTTTTTGAAGAACTTAATTCTTAAGAAAGGCATGCTAAATAATTAAATTCAATGACATGTATAATATTTAATCGTCACTATAGAAAAACATATTTTTGGGATCGTATGATTTCATTATTTAAAGTAGAAAAGTAGGAGAAAGAGATATAATAAAAGACAATAATAAGAAATAAAAATAGAATAGAAGTTTAAAATAGAAAGATAGAAAAGAAAAACATAAACACTTTTTTTTCTGATTGTTTATACATATTTTTATTTTTCATTCTTATATTGCATTCTACATAGACAAATTCGTATGATTGCATTCGTACGTGCATCATTTGTATAGCTTTATTTTGTATTTCTTCATTTTTTTTCTGATATTAGTAAAAACCTCATAGAGAATAAATAAATAATCACTCGCAAGTTAATCATTATGCAAAAAACTTGCATACAATTGTGTCTCTATAAATGTTTGTTATTATCTTATTTTTCAGGCGCATATTTTAGTTTGTATAGGTTCCACTCATACGTAATACATTTTTAAATTCTTTTACGTTTTCATACAATATTAATGGAATTTTGAAAATTTGCCAAACGCGTACCAAATACTGACAATGTCATTGAACTCACAAACAATAAATAAGCAAGAAATATAAAAAAAATTTTAAAGTCAACTCCTACTTAGGTCAACAAAAAATTATTTTAGTTACTTTTTATTAAATAATTAGAATTAGTATAAATATGTATATACATATGACAGAATTACAGTATTAAATGGCAAAATAGAATGCACAATTTTCCTTTTCTATATATAGTTTTGGGCTATTATTTTGTTTGTTATATTATTTATTCATTCATAAATCCCATTCTCAGAAATTAGGTCATCCCAGGTTGGATTCGAACACGACCTTTGTATTCGAAGTCCAAAACACTATCCATTGTGCTACAGAGGCACAACGAGCAATTTTCCTTTATATATATGGTGTTGGACTACTATTTTTATTTGTTACTATTTATTCATTAATTATGATTTAATAGTTGAAAAAAAACTGTATTAATATCAAGTGTCATCCACTACAAGTTTTAAAAAATGTATTTGAACTTGATTGTATGAATAAAAAGCATTTTATTAACGATTGAAAATTTGAACAAGATATATATGTGTATATATATATATAGGGAGAGTGTGAACTATTAGTAGGAATTGAAAAAGAAAGACGCACAGTACAAATATATCAGTTGATTGATTGAATATTAACGTCGCACTGTTCAGCTACACGAGGGCTTTTGGCGACGGACCACGTAATTTTGAACCATGGTCAAGTGACGTGGACGACACCTGAGCTGGCACCCCTCTCCCAACTACCACACCAACGGGAGGACGTTTCAGCTCTCGACAGATTTAACGTGCATCGCTGCCCTACACGGCGGGTCTTTAGTGGTACTGGGCTCGAACTCGTGACAAGGCAAGCCACGATACCACTCGGCTACCGCGGCCACAAATATATCAGAGAGAAACTGTTATCAATAAACTGCAATAAAATTCTGAGTTTTGCATTTGAAGATTCCTTTATTTTGTTTGAAGAATCATGGATTTGATTCGATTTTTATTTACGTCTTACTATGAAGCAACACTTGGACTATCATGGGACTGACGTTTTAATTTTGAGTCACGATTAAGTGGTGTGTACGACGCCTGAGCTGGCACCTTCTTTCCAAACTTCTACGTCACGCTAAAGGAAGGACTGTAAGCTTCAACTTTTTTTATATGTATCAGCCTCTTTACACAGTGGGTCGAAGAATCATACAGCAAGACACTGCAAGAAAGTACAGGGTGAGGCCCGGGAACTTCCTGTTTTGAACATGTTATGGTGATGTTCGTAGGGAGGGGAGGGGTTCGATGGAAGAGATGGAGTGGGATATTTGTGTTCCCACCCGTCTAAGTCTCAAACATGTTGTAGCATGTTGTATTCTCTTTTATCCACTGTACCATATCCAAAAATAAGCTTCAAGTTATTAAATTAATTTTAAATTTAGATAAGAAGAAAATTTCGAGAAATAGTGAATGTTGATATATGGCCGGTATATCAGAACACACAATTTTTTTCAAAATGAAAAAAATTAAATGACGTGCAATAAGGTTACTGCTGAATAAAATAATTAACAAAACAATAAAATTCAGTGGAGAAAAAAGAATGCAAAGTGACTTTACTTTTGTTTCTTATAAAAATCAATATCGCTAGTATTAGTACATTAGTCAATTTTCTAAAAACTTAATTTATATCTTTCAACTTTAAAACACCAATTTCTATCATAAATGTCAATTCATTCGACATCTTAAGATAAAATTATGAGAAGTATATTCAAATTTCTCAAAATTTTGTATGACAAAACCTATGCACTTTGTTTTCTCAGTTAAAATATAAAGAATATCTGATTTAACACAACTATATTATAAAAATTAAATATCATATCGCATCATATATTCTTCTTCTTATTATAGATCTGTTCATCAAAACTCAGTCACTTCAATGTTAATAAAATTGGAAATATATAATTTAACTGACCTCCACTTCGTAGCGGCAGAAACCCTTGGTGAACGGTAATCCAGATGTTGTTGTCAGTGGTGATTTGCACTAGTAAAATTTTATTTATTTATTTTTCTTTAGATATTGGTACTTCACTATTATTCGATGGTGTTCAAATTCACAATATTACCATGTAGACTTTCCGGCGAAGATTTTTTTATTTTATTTCTCTGGTGGAAGGAATTATGTCTGTCTTTACAGGGATAGGGGATTCACGCTTCTCTTCTTTTTTTCTTCTTCGCTATTAGAACGTTGTTTCTTTCACTCGCGACAAACTGGTGGGCCTCTTCAGCAAAGGCAGAAATATATTTCAGTGGTAAAGAGCGGTGTTCTTCCCGGGGTTACGAGCATGATTTCCAATTTCGGCAACCTGATGTCTTCACCAAAGATATGTCGAGCATCGTCAGTGTTCCATCAACTTCTCCATAGCATTTATTACGGTTGTTGGCGTTTGTTTTAATTTTAAGATGATTTTAAGAATACATTTAAGTTTAAATTCTGAAATGCGTTTTCAGGAATCCTGCCGGCTTTATTTCTGACATGATTTTAGAGTCAGAAACAGACTTAGTTTTAATATAAAGGTCTTTATTTGATCAAAGTTAGACATCATCTGACGCAAAAATGTAGAGAGAAAAAGAGCGCCACCGAATAATCTTAAGTGGGTAAAACACTTAAAACACCGATCGCAGCGTTCATGAGTGCTCTTGAAAGTTAATGCTGACATATAGGGCTATTAAATATAACGATCTGGAATTAGACATGTTTATTGGCTAGGCCATATGTTCGGAAGAAATAAATGGGTCATTAGTTTGATGCTTGAAGAGGTGAGGAGGTAGTATAAAAGTGAATTACTAGATAGGGAATTTAATTTTTAATCTAATTTAATTATCCTTACATATATATAAAATAACGATCACGAGAAATAAATAAATTATAGTTTAAAAAAACTAAAAACACGCTTTTATGTTTAATTGAACTAAAAGTAAAAAAAAATAATTCTTAATATTAGAATAAAATGATTAACGAGAAAATTAACGTCATTGGAGTAAAAGCGTGTGGGGTGCTTTGTACTACATTTTTACATGAACTCAGCATTTCGGAATAGAACTAGTAAGAAATTATAACGGATTGATATAGAGCGCCCCACGCTTTTCCCCCAATGACATTAATTTTCTTGGAAATTTGACCATGTCCTCTTACCTGAAAAATATGAAGTAGCTTTGAAAAGACTCGAATCTACGACTAATAAGTTGGAAAAAACGGATATCCAGGAAGGTGTCATGAAGAGCTTAAAGAGTGATTGCAGGAAGGAGTCATAAAAAGAAAGTTCCTGAAAAGAGGAGTTGAAAAAATAGTTGAGCACCGTGACTCGTTCAAAAAATGACTAAAAATGAAAAACGACCTCAATTGAAACGAATAATTTTTTATGATACATTCCCCACGAAATTTTTATTTACAAGGTTGAAAGTACCATTATTTTTTTCATTTGTAATTGATGTTATTCATGTATGTTTTAAACTTTGGTTGAATATGCAATGCGTTGCTCAAAATGTTTTCATGTGCTGCATCTCATTCGACCCAAGATGAGTTATTGGCAAAGAAAATTTACGCATTCCAAACTTGGGCTTAGTGTATGTCTTGATCGACAAATTGAAAAGGAATAGTCGACTCGATCCCCCTTTTTTCGGTATAATTTTTTTTTTTTTGGCTCAGTGCATCAAACATTTTTTTTACCCTATTCCCTATTCAACCAGTCCATACGATTCGGGTATCGTGTGAATCGGTACGCTTTGACGACACAACATTCCGAAGTATTTTCGTCTCGGTGCATGTCTTAGTGATGATAGACCGGTAAGGATTCATCATCACAGTGTACTCGGACAAGTGTCTAAGGACACCACAGGGAGTCCATAAGACACAAGCAATTTCTGTTGAACGTCACCCTTGACCAGAACCACGGCTCCTCTCCCTTGGTCCAGGTGATCGCAGAGTCGCCGACCGCAAAAGGCGAACAAGGACATACTGCGAGGAATGTCGAGCGACAGGTGAAGGTGATGATGCATCAACCGGTAAACGTATCGGTCCTTGGAGGTCATGGGCAATTTGGGCGTGTCCATCGTCACGACCAACACTTCTGGCTCTCGTTCGGGGAGACAGGTATGACAGGTTTTTTGATGGGTATACTGAAACACGTTGGCATTAGCAAAAAAGGCTACACGAGGCATGATGTCTGTGGGCTGGAGGCTTCTCCTCCTATACTCTGGTGGAAGGCAGAGGTATGCAAGAGACGGACTCCTATTGGCTAATGTATAGGGATAAACTTACAACGTCGATACTTTTTACAAGTGATGACATTTTACAGTACTATTTATAGGTGAATTTTAAAAAGATGCACTCCAATTTTGGTGTATTGTTTTCCTTTATTGAAGGTTGAATGTATTTTTTGAAGATATATATATTTTTTCAGCACTAAGCAAGTTTTAAAAAGATGCACTACTCAAATCTTGATGTATTATTTGACCCGAAAAAAAGGGGAACCAAGTCGACAAAACATAGTCAACTCAATCCCCCATTTTTCGGGTAAACCTTTGAAGATTTAAGCTACAAACATTTACCAAAAAGACTATCAGAACTTGAGAATATTAAAAATCACTTTAAATCCAGAAAGTCTTCATGAAAAACATTTAGCATCCACTCGAAAAATGTTACCATGAAAAAAAATTTTTTCAGTTTGACTACCAGTGTTGGAATATCAAATACAAACCCAAACCTGGTAGTCTTAAAGAAAAAATTTTTTTTAAATCTCTACTCTGGACATCTTGACTCTACAGCATTCGAAAGTGTTTTGATTTCTGGCTGCTCACCTTTTATGCTCATGATGTGTAACCAGAAACTCTGATTCCTATTGGCTGATGCTTACTGATCCAGTTTCCATCCTTGAAAGTTATCTTTTAATGCATTTTTCACAAGTTTTAAAAGAGATGCGCTCTAATCTTGCATATTGTGTGTTTTGAAAAAAAGTGTACCGAGTCGACTATTGTGTCGACTCGATCCTCCAGTTTTAGGTATAATGTCTTGTATCAAAAAAAAAAGTCACCCATTCTACCAAATCTGAAATTTTTTGCCACTTTCTTTCTGCAGCTGGTTTAACTCCTGCAGGTAGCGTACAAACCGTTACAATTTCACTGCGGTGCACTCTGTAATGTCCCCACTTTCGTAAACCTCGTCATTAAGATGATCGGGCAGGGCGCGGTCGTGCACGTCCTGCAATTTGAGCAACGTCTCCAGGTCAATGGTAAACAGTTCCAGCTCTTCAAATCTTTTGCACTGGTCAGACCCCTTCGCTACGATGAAGCTTTGGTATC